AGTACACTGCTGAGGGGAGCAGTGGGTGGCAGGAGAGGTCTGCGCGCCATATTGGACCCTCCTCCGGTGGCCGGGGAGCAGCCGGGGATCGAACCGGCGCTGCAGAGGCTGCAGGCAGCTTCCCAACCCAGCGCTCAACCGCTGCGCCACCAGGGAGGCCCTCAATTTCACTTTTCAATAGAGGAGCTTCTTTAACTTTCCCTCCAGTTAAATGAACCTCTCCCTCTCCCCATAGTATGCTATCATAACACTCTTCCCTAGTTATCAATATTTATAAATACATTTATTTTGGATTATTTATTATATATTGTACATCTTCCCACTAGACCGTAAACTTTGTAAGAGTAGCAACAAATCATTTTCTAGCACTATGTCCAATTATAAACCAGTTATTGACCAATCTGACATATAGAAGGGGTTTGGTATTTGTTGATTGAATGAATACCAAATACCACAACTGAAAATACTTACAAGTATTAAGATGTACTTTATGCTAATACATTTGAAATTAGATAATTTTTGCCAAAATATAAATTACTGAATTTAATTCAGGAGAAGGTGGTGAATCTACATAAACCAATAACTAAGAAGCTACTGAAAAAGTTACCAGAGGTATATTGGTAAGGTAAAGGCATATCTTGCAAATGGCATCATTATTTTCTTGAAAAGGATAAGGAGGGGCCTCCCCACTGCTGGTGAGGGTCCCACAAAAAAAAAAAAGGATAAGGAAAATGAGCTATAAAATATCTAATACAATAATCTAGTATCCTTATACATGATAAATATTAAAAAATTGTTTGCTTTCATAGACATCATCAGTAATTAAAAGCATTTCAAAAAATCTCCAAGGAACCAAAAATATACTTGGACATGAATTTAATCAGATCTAGACAGGACACCAGTAAACAAATTTTTACTGAGAAACCTAAAATATTTTACTAAATTGAAAGATATTCATGAATGTGAAGATTATTTTAAATTTTATTGATTTATGCATTATTAGATTTATTGATTTATGCATTATCAGAGCTGGGGTACAGGCCAGAGATGCGGGGTGAGAGGGTTCACCAGAGACAGAGTGGGGAGCAGAACAGGCAGATCGACTGAAATACACTGCTGAGGGGAGCAGCAGGCAAGGCTGGAGAGGTCTGCTGCACCATCTGAGTCACCTCCCAGGTGGGGAATCAAACTGGTATTACAGTGGCTGCAGATAGCTTCACAGTGCTGCGTCTTAACCCCTTGTGCCACCGGGGGGCCCAACAACATTTTTAATGTCAACTATGTCCCCATTTATTTGTGTACATTTTACAGCAGAATTTCTGGCAACTTTGATAAAGATATTCTAAATTTCATTTGGAAGAATTGATGTGTAGGAAAAAAAATAGATTTTACAAAGTGTAATCAGAACTTGTATGCATGAATAAAAATAAATCTTTAAAAAAATAACAAGATTCACTAAAGAACAAGAGCCAGTGATTACACAGCAAAAACATCTAATCACTAATAATTAACGAAATGTAAATTCAAAATATTACACCCATTTGATTCAATCGATAAAAATGAAACCGTAAGGGTAAAGGAAAGTGAACATTCCTTAGAAACTGCTGTTGGGAATATAAACTGATGTACCCTACACCTCTTCTGGGAATCTGTTTGCAATGGGTATCAAATGGCTTAGCAACGAGCAATACTTTTTTTTTTAAGATTTAGAATTTTTTTTTAAGATTTATTTATTTATGCATACAAGATCTGGGGTACAGGTGAGAAGTTCGGGGCGGGGGGTGAGAGGATTCACCAGAGACAGCAGGTAGCAGAGCAGACTGGGCAAATCTACTGAAATACACCACTGAGGGGAGCAGCGGGCAAGACAGGAGAGGTCTGCCGCGCTATGTGGGCATCTTGTAGGCCGGGCAGGATCAAACCCATGCTGCAAGAGGCTGCGCTGTGCTCAACTGCCTGCACCATCATGGAGGCCCAGCAGCATGCAAGACTCTTTTTTTTTTTTTTAAAGATTTATTTATTTACAAGAGCAGAAGTACAGGCCAGAGGTTGTGGGGGGGGGGGGTGGGGGTGTCTGTGAGAGGATTCACCAGAGACAGAGTGGGGAACAGAACAGGCAGATTGAAACACATTGCTGAGGGGAGCAACAGGCAAGTCAGGAGAGGTCTGCTGTGCCATCTAGTTTTCTCCCTGGCTGCCTGGGGAATCAAACTTGTGCTGCAGTGGCTGCGGACAGCTTCATAGGTTGCGTTTTAACCCCTTGCGCCACCAGTGGGGCCCAACATGCAAGACTTTTGATGCAAAATGTCATTTGTTGGAATCTACCTTAAGGATATATGGAAATTCACAAAGATCTTGCAACAAGGCTGCTCATTATATCATTATAGTAGAAAATCTAAATGATCAACAAAAATTATGCCAAACTATGGTATTTTTATAAAAATATTAAGTCATTTAAAAGTTGCATCAATACCTCTATGATAAACTAATTCATAGATATGCATAGTATTTTCTGATAAAACTGTTACCAATCCTGTCAAGAACATTTTGTCTACATATATATGTGAGCCCAAAGAGAGAAACACAAGGCTTAGATAGCAATTGTCTTTGTAAAGGAAGCAGATTGTTTTTCTATTGAACATGAACTGCTTTTGTAATAAGGAAAAATAAAAACTTCATATTTAATTACTACAATAAAAATAGCTAAAATGGAAGCATATTGCACGTGTTGAAAATTACAATAATGAAGACTGAAGAAACCAGGTCAAATGGAATAGGAGTAAATAAAATATCTGATTTTTAGCTATTGTTATATGTGTATATTTAAAAAACAAGGAAACAGAAAATAAACAAAGTTATCTTATTAAGAGATAATATAGGCAATTTTTTTCCTTGTTAAATAATTTTTTAAAAGCTTTATTTATGCATATAAGAACTAGGGTCTAAGCCAGAGGTGCGGGGGTGGTGAGAGGATTTGCCAGAGAGAATGGGGAGCAGAACAGGTGGATTAACAGAAATACACTGCTGAGGGGAGCAGCGGGCTAGGAGGAGAGGTCTGTTGCACTATGTGGTTGCGCTCCCTGGCCAGCCTGGGATCAAACTCATGCTGCAGTGGCTAGCGACAGCTTGATGGCGCAGTCTTTAACCCCTGCACCAACAGGGAGGCCCTGTTAAATAATTTTTTAAGATTTTTTTTTTTTTTTTTTTTTTTGGGTAGAGGCATGTTTTTATTTATTTATTTCTTTGTTTGTTTGTTTGTTTTTTGTTTATACATGCACTGGGTACAGTCAGAAGCGCGGGAGGGTGAGAGAATTCACCAGAGCCAGAGCGGGGAGCAGAACAGGCAGAAGGACCGAAGTACACTGCTGAGGGGAGCAGCGGGCGGCAGGAGAGGCCTGCGCACCATGTGGGACCCTCCTGCGGTGGCTGGGGAGCAGCCGGGGATCGAACCGGTGCTGCAGAAGCCGCGGGCAGCATCGCAACCCAGCGCTCAACCGCTGCGCCACCGGGGAGGCCCAAGATTTATTTTTTTATGCATACAAGAACTGGGATACAGGCCAGAGGTGTGGGGGGAGGGTGAGAGTATCCCCCAGAGACAGAGTAGGGAGCAGAACAGGTGGATCTACTGAAATACACTGCTGAGGGGAGCAGCAGGCAAGACAGGAGAGGTCTGCTATGTCATGTGGGGTAGTAGTTCCCTGGCCAGGGCTCAAACTCATGCTACAGTGGCTGGCAATAGCTTGGTAGTGACGACTTTAACCAGGGAGGCCCCTTAAATAATCTTTTAAGTAAAAATCTATAGCAGATTTTGAACACAGTTCATTCAAGCAGCTTCACGACAATAGTGGAGACAGAGTGACAGAGCCAAGGGATGGGTGGTATGGGTTGGGGGTGAGATTAAAGCCTTCTGTAATCACCATTAGTTACTTCCTATAAAGCTTCACCAGAAGAAAAAAAAAAGTCAGCCTCAAAAGCAAGTTTCCCTCTATGTAGGAAAGCTGGAACCACAGTAATGAGGACAGTTCCCACCTTAACACTACAGGTCCTGGGTCTACCCTCTTGTGGTATACATTTTCTTTTCTTTTCAATTAAGATTTTATTTTTCATAGAGCAGTTTAATGTTCGTGGCAAATTTCATGGGAAAGTACAGAGATTTCCCACACACCCTGTGCCCCCAAACATGCAGTCTACTACATTATCAACGTTCCCCCAATCAGAGTGTAGAGTGGCGGTAATTGGTAAACCTACATTGACACATCGTAATCACTTGAAAGGCATAGTTTTTTTCGTTGGTTGTTTTAAAAATTTATTTTTATTTCTTTATGCATACAAGAACTGGGGTGTAGGCCAGAGATTGCAGGGGATGAGAGTATTCACCAGAGACAGAGTGGGGAGCAGAACAGGCAGATCTACTGAAATACACTGCTGAGGGGAACAGTGGGGGAGGCAGGAGAGGTCTGCTGCACCATGTAGGTTAGCTCCCTGGCCAGGGATTGAACTCCTGCCATGCCACAGTGGCACAGTGGCTGTTGATAGCTTGATAGTGCTGAGGCTTTAACCCCTGCGCCACCAAGGAGGCCCTGAAATTCATAGTTTACATTATGATTCACTCTTGGTTTTGTGCATTAGATCTGCATCTTTGTTTTCCTATAGATCTGCATTTTTAAAAAAGATTTATGCATACAAGAACTGGGGTACAGGCCAGAGGCATGGGGGGTGGGAGGATCCACCAGAGACAGAGTGGGGAGCAGAACAGGCAGATGTACTGAAATATACTGCTGAGGGGAGCAGCGGGCGAGTCAGGAGAGGTCTGCTGTGCCATGTGGGTTGCTCCCTGGCCGGGGATTGAACTCGTGTTGCAGTGGCTGTGGATTGCTTCATAGGGTGCACCTTAACCCCTTGAGCCACCAGGGAGGTCCACACATCTGCATTTTCAAAATCTTCATGAAACACATTGTCTCAGGCTTTGCTTTGACTCCTTTCTTATTCCTGGGTTTCAGAACCATGTGTGCTCAGTACTGCATTTCCTTTGCTGATGTTGAAAAAGCTCATGTCAACATTCAAGATTTTATCTACCTCACACCAGTGCTAACAAGCTCCGTTTTGAATCAAGTAGCAGGGCGCAATCTTTTCTTCAAATGTGAACTCTTCCAGAAAACTGGATCTTTTAAGGTAACAATCACTTTTGATAGTGTATCATTTATCTTTTCAAATCCTTTTTTTTTTTTAAGATATATTTTATTTATTCATACAAGCACTGGGTACAGTCAGAAGCACAGGAGGGTGAGAGAATTCACCAGAGCCAGAGCAGGGAGCAGAACAGGCAGAAGGACCGAAGCACACTGCTGAGGGGAGCAGCGGGCGGCAGGAGAGGTCTGCGCACCATGTGGGACCCTCCTGCAGTGGCTGGGGAGCAGCCGGGGATCGAACCAGTGCTGCAGAGGCTGCGGGCAGCTTCGCAACCCAGCGCTCAACCACTGCGCCACCGGGGAGGCCCTTCAAATCCTTTTCACATAAAATTTATTTATCCTTCTGACTACCCAGTGAGGTAGGTAGAAGTAAACTAATACCTTTTTCAGCAGGAAAAAGACTTGTAGAAAATTTCCTTTGCTGATTGTAGGCCACCTTTATACAATCTCAAAATTCCATATAATTTTTTATTACCCAATCTCAGACATGTTTGAGAATGAAAGGGGGGTGGGTAACTGTAGTGATTAAATCAAGACAACCGACATCAACTTGGACTATTGCAGGCATAACGGGCTGGTGTGATCACCATCTATATATCCAAATTTAAGCATTCACTTTGAGTCAACTTACTATTCATTGGTAGCTTTTGTGAATATAAAAGATCTAAACTTAGCTAAATTCTCATATAAGATCTTTTTCCACAAAATATGTGAACTCCTTTGCAATCATAAAGACAGACTTCTTTGTCTGTTCTTGCATACAAGAACTGGGGTACAGGCCAGAGGTGTGGGGGTTGAGAGCATTCACCAGAGGCAGAGTGGGGAACAGAACAGGCAGATTGACTGAAATACACTGCTGAGGGGAGCAGCAGGAGACTCAGGAGAGGTCTGCTGTGCCATATGGGTCACCTCCCAGGCTGGGGATTGAACTCAGACAGCTTCACAGTGCTGCGTCTTAACTCTCCTTGCACCACCACGGAGGCCCCTGTGTTGATTCTTTTTTTTTTTTTTAAATAGAGGCATGTTTTATTTATTTATTTATTTGTTTGTTTTGTTTATACATGCACTGGGTACAGTCAGAAGCGCAGGAGGGTGAGAGAATTCACCAGAGCCAGAGCAGGGAGCAGAGCAGGCAGAAGGACCGAAGCACACCGCTGAGGGGAGCAGCGGGCGGCAGGAGAGGTCTGCGCGCCATGTGGGACCCTCCTCCAGTGGCCGGGGAGCAGCCGGGGATCGAACCAGCGCCGCAGAGGCCGCGGGCAGCCTCGCAACCCAGGGCTCCACCGCTGCACCACCCGGGAGGCCCCCCTGTGTTGATTCTTTACCAGACTTTTCTGACCATTGGTTGAGCTTTAAGATCCTTTCTTTTTTTTTTTTTTAAAGATTTATTTATTTATGCACACAAGATCTGGGGTACATGCCAGAGGTGCGGGGGGCCAAGGGGATTCACCAGAGAAAGAGTGGGGAACAGAACAGGCAGATTGACAGAAGCACACTACTGAGGGGAGCAGCGGGCGAGCCAGGAGAGGTCCACTGTGCTAAGTGGGGGATCAAACCCTCGCCACAGTGGCTCTGGACAGCTCCACAGGTTGTGTCTAAGCCTCTTGCGCCACCAAGGAGGCCCGAGCTTTAAGATCCTTTCAGGTAAGAATCTGAGAGGTACACTTAGCACTGTGCCTGACAGGTATTGGTACCTGTAAAGTGGTCACTTTAGGATTTTAAGAATCTACCCTTTTCCCCACCCATTAACTGAGAATTTTTATAAAAATACAGGAACTTGGGCTTCCCTGGTGGCGCAGGCAGTTGAGTGCAGCGCTGTGAAGCTGTCTGCAGCCTCTGCAGTGCCAGTTTTCTCTCCGCCGGCTGCAGAGCAACCCACATGGCAAGGCAGACCTCTCCTGTCCCCTCAGAAGTGTATTTCAGTCAGTCTGCCTGCTCTATTCCCGGCTGTCTCTGGTGAATCCTCTCACCCTCCCACACCTCTGGCCTGTACCCTGGCTCTTATATAAATAAATAAATCAATCTTTTTAAAAGATTGATTTATGCTTAAATAAATAAATCTCTTTTTTAAAGATTTATTTATTTATGCTTACGAGAGCTGGGGTATAGGCCAGAGGTGTGGGGGGTGAGAGGACACCAGAGACAGAGTAGGGAGCAGAACAGGCAGATGTACTGAAATACACTGCTGAGGGGAGAAGCAGGCAAGTCAGGAGAGGTCTGCTGCACCATGTGGGTTGCTCCCTGGCTGGGGATCGAACTCATGCTGCAGTGGCTGTGGATAGCTTCATAGGTTGCATCTTAACCCCTTGCGCCACCTGGGTGGCCCTCTTTGATTTTTTAAAAGATACTTTGAAGTCGATGTATTAATTCACCATCCATCATTTCCAGATTCGTGGGGCCCTGAATGCAATCAGAGGCTTGATTCCTGCCACTTCAGAAGAGAAGCCCAAAGCTGTTGTTACTCACAGCAGTGGGAACCATGGCCAGGCTCTTGCCTATGCTGCCAAGTTGGAAGGTACTTGACTAATTTCTCAAGGTACTGGGTAGGATAATCAGAAAGGAATGGGAAAGTAGCCTTTCTATCAGTGAGATTAGTAAAGCTATAACAAGCAAATTTCCTAGTCCCTATTTGATTATAAGCAAACTGAACAGGTTTTTTAAAAATATGTATCTTTACACAGAATTTGTACCCCACCACCATCCCTTATGTTACTTTCACCCTCCCCTTCCTTCTTAACCTCAGATACCTCGCTTTCTCTTAGTGTCCAGTAGGTTTTATTCCCCAAGTATTTTTGCTTTGTTGAATTGTCAATGTAAATGTCCAATATTTGTCATTCTGACTTATTTTATTACACATAATTCCCTCAAACTCCTGTTTTGCTATATTTGGTAATGTTGTGTCTTTCCTGATGCAATGAACAGTATTTCCTGATGACTGAACAGTATTTCATTGTGTGGATATACAAATCTTCTTAATCCACTCCTCTGCTAGTAGGAACTTAAGTTGTTTCCCTGTCCTAGCTATTTTTTTTTAAAGATTTATTTATCTTTCCATGCAGACAAGAACTGGGGTATAGGCCAGATGTGTGGGGCAGGTGGGGGGAATGTTGAGAGGATTCACCAGAGGCAGAATGGGGAACAGAACAGGCACACCGACTGAGGGGAGCAGTGGGCAAGACAGGAGAGGTCTGATGTGCCATGTGGGTTGCTTCCCGGCCGGGGATCGAACTTGCGCTGCAGTGGCTGTGGTCAGCTTCATAGGTTGCGTCCCAACCCCTTATGCCACCAGGGAGGCCCCATGTCCTAGCTATTGTAATACTTCAATAAACATTTAGAGCATATCATTTTTTGAGTTGATAGTTTCATATTCTTTCTTTATTTTTTTAAAGATTTATTTATTTATGCATACAAGAACTGGGCCATAGGTTTGGGGTATATGTGAGAGGATTCACCAGAGACAGAGGGGAGCAGAACAGGTGGATCTGCTGTAATACACTGCTGAGGGGAGCAGCGGATGAGACAGGAGAGATCTGCCTCACCATGTGGCTAGCTCCCTGCTGGCTGGGGATCGAACTGGTGCTGCAGTGGCAGGTGATAGCTTGATAGCCCTGTGTCTTTAACCCTGGTGCCACAGGGAGGCCCTCAGGTTCTTTAGATGCCCCAAAATGAGATCATTGGGTCATATAGTATTTCCAGTTTTAGTTTTGTAAAATCAGTCCAAACCACTTTCCAAAAATGCTGCACCAGTTTACATTCCCACCAACAATTTATATCATTCCTCTTTCTCCACATCTTTTCCATTGCATATTGTTGGGGGTCTTTTTAAATATGTCCCATTTACATGAGTGAGATGATATCTCATGGTTTCTACATGCATCTCACTTATTAAAAGAGATGATAAACATTTCTATAATTCTATTAGGCTTCTGGGCATCCTCTTTAGTGAACTGTCTGTTCAGATCTACTGCCCATTTATTAGATTTTGTTGTTATTGCTTTTTCTTTAATGTCTTGGATATTAATCTTTTGTTGGTTGTGTAATGTGTGATTATTTTCTCTGATTCAGTAAGATGTTTTTTAATCTGCTTTTATTTTCTTTCACTGTTATGAAAGCTTTTTGAGATAATCCCAATTCTTTACTTTCGCCTTTATCTCCCTTGCTTTAGGAGTGGAGTCTCCAAAAACATCTTTTTTTTTTTTTTTAAGATTTATTTATTTATACAAGAACCAGGGTACAGGTCAGATGTGTGAGAGGGTGAGAGGATTCACCAGAGACAGAGCGGGGAACAGAACAGGCAGACTGACTGAAATACACTGCTGAGGGGAGCTTGGGGGAGACAGGAGAGGTCTCCCGCACCATGTGGGTTGCTCCGTGGCTGGCGGGGATTGAACCAGCACTAGCAGAGGCTGAGGACAGCTTCACAGCGCTGCGCTCAACCGCCTATGCCACCAGGGAGGCCCCTCCAAAAACATCTTTAGCATTGATATCATGAAACATTGCTAATATTTTCTTCTATGTGTTTTATTATTGCAGGTCTTATATATATATGCCTTTAATTTTGAATTAATTTTTGTGCATGGAGTTAAGAGTGATATAATGTGTGAATATAATCACTCTTGTATGTGTGGCCATCTAGTTTTCCTAGAGCCACATTACTCTTCTTTCTCCATTGTATGCCTGTGGCTCCTTTATCATGAATTATTTTTTTTTTTTTAACAATTTTTTTTTTTAAGATTTATTTTTATTTATGTATACAAGCACTGAGTACAGTCAGAAGCGCCGGAGGGTGAGAGAATTCACCAGAGCCAGAGCGGGGAGCAGAGCAGGCAGAAGGACCGAAGTACACTGCTGAGGGGAGCAGCGGGCGGCAGGAGAGGTCTGCGCGCCATGTGGGACCCTCCTCCGGTGGCCGGGGAGCAGCCGGGGATCAAACCGGCGCTGCAGAGGCTGCGGGCAGCCTCGCAACCCAACGCTCAACCGCTGCGCCACCGGGGAGGCCCTATCATGAATTATTGACATATGCACCATTTCTAAGCTTCCAATTTTGTTCCACTTATCCATGTGCCTATTTTTATTCCAAACACATAGCTTTAATTATTGTTGTTTTTTAATACAATTTAAAATGAGGTAACGTGACATACCCATTTTTCTCTTTTCTCAGGATTGCTTTAGCTATTTGAGACCTTTTATGGCTCCATATAGCAATAAATATTAATTTTTTTTAATAGAGGCATGTTATTTATTTGTTTGTTTGTTTGTTTGTTTTGTTTATACATGCACTGGGTACAGTCAGAAGTGCGGGAGGGTGAGAGAATTCACCAGAGCCAGAGCAGGGAGCAGAGCAGGCAGAAGGACCGAAGAGTACTGCTGAGGGGAGCAGCGGGCGGCAGGAGAGGTCTGTGCGCCATGTGGGACCCTCCTCCGGTGGCCGGGGAGCAGCCAGGGATCGAACCCGGGCCGCAGAGGCCGCGGGCAGCTTCGCAACCCAGCGCTCAACCGCTGCGCCACCAGGGAGGCCCAATAAATATTAATCTTTTAATAATATATATCTTTGAAGAACACCATTTGATTTTAATGGGGAGTGCATTAAATCTACACATCACTTTTGGTACAAGTTATTTTGACTATATTGACTCCTCCCATCCATAAACATAGTGTCTTTCCATCTCTTTTGTCTTTGAGCAGAAGTTTCTATCCTAAATTCTCCTTGCTTTAAACATGTTTCTCCCTCCCAGGAATTCCTGCTTATATTGTGGTGCCCCAAACAGCTCCCAACTGTAAAAAACTGGCAATACAAGCCTATGGAGCCTCTATAGTATACAGTGAGCAGAGTGATGAGGTAAGAAATGCTTTCATTGTCAAATTAAACTTCTCTTCCTCATTGGCCACTTTTGTCTCCCGTTTCCTCTTCATCTCTAAAAGCTGGCATGCCCAACCTTCTCTGTATCTACATTCAGATGATCTCATTAGCCTCACTCTTACATTACCTACACTCTAACTTTGACCTTGGACTTTAACCCCAACTTGGGTATCAAATATACAACATGGTTCTCCCACTTGGATAGCTCAGTAAATCTCAAGCTTTCTTTCTTTCTTTTTTTTTTTTTAAGATTTATTTATTTATTTATGCAAGCACTGGGTACAGTCAGAAGTGCAGGAGGGTGAGAGAATTCACCAAAGCAGAGCAGGCAGACTGACGAAGTACACTGCTGAGGGGAGCAGCGGGTGGCAGGAAGAGGTCTGTGCGCCATATGGGACCCTCACCCAGGGGCCGGGGATTGAACCGGCGCTGCAGAGGCTGCAGGCAGCTTCGCAACCCAGCGCTCAACCACTGCGCCACCAGGGAGGCCCTCGAGTTTACTTTCTAAAACCAAACTCCTGATCTTATTCTCTGTGTTGCTCCTCTTCCAATCTTTCCCATATCAGTTAATGGCAACTTTTTTCTAGTAGTTCAGTGTTGGGAGTGATCTTTCATTACTGTTATCTCATACTTCATATCCAAAGTTTAGTCCTAATTGCCCCAAAATTTCCATAATCCAACTACCTCTACCTCTTAGACTCAAATATTAGTTCTCCCCTAAACTCAGTAGCCTATCTGGTCTGTTTCCACCCTTGCTCATTTTCAGAACGAAAGCTATCCATTTATTATTTTTGTGGTTTTTTTTTAAAAAAAAGATTTATTCATACAAGCACTGGGTACAGTCAGAAGCATGGGAGGGTGAGAGAATTCACCAGAGCCAGAGTGGGGAACAGAACAGGCAGACTGACGAAGTACACTGCTGAGGGGAGCTGCGGGTGCAGCAGGAGAGGTCTGTGAGCCATGTGGGACCCTCGCCGGCAGCCGGGGATCGAACCAGCGCTCCAGAGGCTGCGGGCAGCTTCGCAGCCCAGCGCTCAACCGCTGCGCCACCGGGGAGGCCCTGTGTTTTGTTTTGTTTTTTTTTAGTATTTATTTATTTATACATACAAGAGCTGGGGAGGTGTGTGTGGGGTGAGATTAACCAGAGTGGGGAGCAGAACAGGCAGATCCACTGAAATACACTGCTGAAGGGAGCAGTGGACAAGACAGGAAAGGTCTGTTGCACCATGTGGGTTAGCTCCCTAGCCAAGGATGGAATTTGTGCTGCAGTGGCTGCTGATAGCTTCATAGTGCTGACTTTTAACCCCTTGTGCCACCAGGGAGGCCCTCCATTTAGTTTTGTTTTTTTTTTTTAAAGATTTATTTATTTATGCATACAAGAGCTGGGTTACAGGCCAGTGATGCAGGGAAGGGGTGTGTGTGAGAAGATTCACCAGAGACAGGGGAGAACAGAACAGGCAGATTGACTGAAAAACACTGCTGAGGGGAGCAGAGGGCAAGACAGGAGGGGTCTGCTTCGCCACGTGGGTTGCTCCCTGGCCGGCCAGCGATAGCGATAGAACTCGTGCTGCAGAGGCTGCGGATTGCTTCATAGTGTGGCACTTAACCCCTTGCGCCACCAGGGAGACCCCATTTAGTATTTTTGAACTTGTCTTTTGTCAGCTCAAAATCCTCCAATGGTTTCCCATTTCATATACAGTGGAAACCACTTGAAATCATCTAAGGTTGAGATTAACTGGTCTGGCTCATTCCTACCTCTCTGATTTCATCTTCCACTGTTACTCTTTCCCAAACACTCCATGCAAACAACTCTTTTTTTTTTTTAAATAATAAATTTTATTTTTATATTCCCCATACAATTGCAGCCCCCCCATTCTGACCCCAATCCCTCCCCTCCCACCCCCCCCCCCCAAAAAGTGTCTCTGGTTCATAGTTTTTTGTTGATTTTGATTTTCACTTTCTTATAGTTATTCATTTTCCTGGTCCCTTATTTAAGTTTTCTAGATTCCTGCTATGAGTGAGACCATCCGGTATTTTTCTTTTTCTTTTTGGCTTATTTCGCTGAGCATGATCCCTTCCAGCGCCATCCATGTTGCTGCAAATTGCATGTGTTTATCTTTTTTGAATGCTGAGTAATATTCCATGGTATATATGTACCACATCTTCTTGATCCAGTCATCTATTTTTGGGCATTTGGGCTGTTTCCAAAGCTTAGCTATTGTAAACAGTGCTGCTATAAACATAGGGGTGCAGGTGTTCTTTGGAATTGATGTTTCTGTGTCCTTTGGGTAAATACCTAGGAGTGGAATTGCTGGATCATATGGAAGCTCTATGTTTAGTAGGCCCAGAAATCTCCACACAGCTCTCCATAGTGGTTGGACCAGTTTGCATTCCCACCAACAGTGCAGGAGAGTTCCTTTTTCTCCACACCCTCGCCAACATTTGTTGTTGCTAGTTTTTTTAATATGTGCCATTCTCACTGGTGTAAGATGGTATCTCATGGTAGTTTTGATTTGCATTTCCCTGATGACAAGTGATGTTGAACATTTTTTCATATGCCTGTTGGCCATTCGCATTTCCTCTTCAGAGAAGTTTCTTTTTAGCTCTTCTGCCCATTTTTTGACTGGATTATTTTCTTTGTTGTTGTTAAGTCTCATCAGCTCTTTGTAGATTTTTGTGATCAGTCCTTTATCATTAGTGTTGGGTGCAAAAATGTTCTCCCAGTTGGTGGGGTTTCTCTTTGTTTTTGTTATTGTCTCTTTTGCTGTGCAGAAGCTCTTTAATTTGATGTAGTCCCAGCTGTTTATCTTTGCCTTCACTCTCACTGCTTTGGGTGATGTGTCTGTAAAGATGTCTTTTATGTGCAAATCACGTAGTGTTTCGCCTATATTTCCTTCTATATATTTTATGGTTTCAGGTCTTATGTCTAGTTCTTTAATCCATTTTGAGTTGATTTTTGTGTATGGTGTGAGGTAGTGGTCAAGCTTCATTCTTTTGCATGTAGCGACCCAGTTTTCCCAGCACCATTTATTGAACAAACTCTCTTTGCTCCAATGCATAGTCTTTGCTCCTTTGTCAAAGATTAGTTGACCATAAATCTGTGGGTTTATTTCTGGATTTTCTATTCGATTCCATTGGTCTGTATGTCTGTTCTTATTCCAATACCATGCAGTTTTGATGATTATGGCTTTGTAGTATAGTTTGAAGTCTGGGAGTGTGATGCCTCCATTCCCTTCTTTTTTTTCAGGAGAGCTTTGGCTATTCGAGGTTTTTTGTGATTCCATATGAATTTCATCAATAATTGTTCTATTTCTTTGAAGAATGACATTGAAATTTTGATTGGAATAGCATTGAATCTGTATATTGCTTTTGGGAGGATGGCTATTTTAATAATGTTTATTCTTCCAATCCATGAGCAGGGGATGTCTTTCCATTTCTTTGTGTCTTCTTCTATTTCTTTTAACAGTGTTTTATAGTTTTCTTTGTATAGGTCCTTTACCTCTTTTGTTAGATTTATTCCCAAATATTTGATTTTTTTTGTTTCAATAAAAAAAGGGATGGTTTTTTTGATTTCTTCTTCTTCAGATTTATTGTTTGTGTATAGGAAGGCTACTGACTTTTGCGTGTTGATTTTGTATCCTGCCACTTTACTGAACTGATTGATGAGTTGAATTAGTTTTTCTGTGGAGTTTTTGGGGTTCTCTATGTATATTATCATATCATCTGCAAATAGTGATAGTTTGACTTTTCTTTTCCTATTTGGATTCCTTGGATGTCTTTCTCTTGTCTTATTGCTCTGGCTAGGACTTCCAGTATTATATTGAAAAGCAGTGGTGAGAGTGGACATCCTTGTCTTGTTCCAGATCTTAATGGAATTGCTTTCAGCTTTTCACCATTGAGAATAATACTGGCTGTTGGCTTGTCATAGATGGCCTTTATGATGTTGAGGTATGTTCCTTGTATCCCAAGAATTTCAAGGGCTTTTATCATGAATGGGTGTTGCACTTTGTCGAAAGCTTTCTCAGCATCTATTGATATTATCATATGGTTTTTATATTTCTTTTTGTTGATGTGTTGGATAACGTTGATTGATTTTCGGATGTTAAACCATCCTTGTGTTCCAGGAATGAATCCTACTTGGTCGTGGTGAATTATCTTATGGATACATTGTTGGATTCTGATAGCTAAAATTTTATTGAGGATTTTTGCATCAGAGTTCATTAGGGAGATTGGCCTGTAGTTTTCCTTTTTTGTGTTGTCCTTGTTCGGTTTTGGTATTAGTGTAATGTTGGCTTCATAGAACGTGTTTGGTATTGTCCCTTCCTTCTCAATTTTTTGGAAGAGTTTGTGAAGGATAGGCACTAATTCATCTCTGAATGTTTGGTAGAATTCATTTGTAAATCCATCAGGTCCTGGGCTTTTGTTTTTGGGGAGATTTTTGATTACCATTTCAATTTCGCTGCTTGTAATTGGTCTGTTTAGGTGTTCTATTTCTTCTTTATCTAGCTTTGGGTGATTGTAGAGTTGTAGGAATTTGTCCATCTCCTCTAGACTGTTAAACTTGTTTCCATATAACTCTTCATAGTAGTTACTGATTATTCTTTTGATTTCTGCTGTGTCCGTTGTGATTTCTCCTCTTTCATTGATGATCCTGTTTATTTGTGCTTTCTCCCTTTTTTCCTTTGTGAGCCTGGCTAGGGGTTTGTCTATTTTATTGATTTTTTCGAAGAACCAGCTCTTGGTTTCATTGATCTTTTGGATTGTTTTTTTAGTTTCAATTTCATTTATTTCTGCTTTGGTTTTTATTATTTCTTTTCTTCTACTGGTTTTGGGTTTTTTTTGTTGTTCTTTTTCTAGATCTTTGAGCTTCGAGATTAGGTTGCTTCTTTGAGTTCTTTCTTGTTTCTTGATGTGAGCTTCTATTGCTATATATTTTCCTCTTATTACTGCTTTTGCTGCATCCCATACATTTAGGATATTGGTGTCCTCCTTGTCGTTCAATTCAAAGAATTTTTTAATTTCTTCTTTGATCTCCTCATTAGTCCAGTGGTCTTCCAGTAGTGTGGTTCTTAATCTCCATGAGGTAGGAAAGTTCCTTGCCTTCTTTTTATGGTTTATTTCTAGTTTGATGCCTTCATGGTCAGAAAAGATGGTTGATATGATTTCAATCTTGGTGTATCTGTTGATATTTGTCTTGTGCCCCAGTATGTGATCGATCCTGGAGAATGATCCGTGTGCGCTTGAGAAAAATGTGTACTCCGTTTTTTTGGGGTTTAGTGTTCTATAGATGTCTGTTAAGCCCAAATGCTCTAGGTCCTTATTTAGAGCTTTGGTTTCTTTACTTATTTTTTGTCTTGTTGATCTATCCATTGTTGATAGTGGTGTGTTGAAGTCTCCCACTACGTATGTGTTTTCTCTGATGTCTGTTTTCAGAGAGGACAAGAGTTGTCTGATATATTTTGGTGCTCCTTCGTTTGGTGAGTATATGTTAATGAGTGTTATTTCTTCTTGAAGTATTGTCCCCTGGATCATAATGTAGTGACCATTAGAAACCTCACTGAGCACAGGGACTGTTTTGTTCATTCTTATATCCCCAATACCCTAACAAAGTCTAAAAAAGGCAGATGGTCCATACAATGTCAAATGATTGAATCTAACTGGTTGTGAACTCTAGTGAACAGGAACCAAGTAAACTTAATGTGCTCTTCCAGTCCAGAGAAAGTGTTACAAAAAGAATTGTGGAAGAAACAGAAGGAATCATGGTACATCCAAACCAAGAGCCTGCAGTGATAGCTGGACAAGGAACAATTGCTGTTGAAGTGCTGAACCAGGTAAAAGCCTAGTTAGTTCTTGTTTAGCTACTGGTATAGCTTTTGTTTGGCAGTACAATTGATTACATGTACACATAACACTGCTTATTAATAGGCCTATTTATATTTATATTCTTTTCATTAAAGGTTCCTTTGGTAGATGCAGTGGTGGTACCTGTAGGAGGAGGAGGAATGGTCGCCGGAATAGCAATTACAATTAAGGTAAGAGAACAGGTTACGGAGGACTTCCCACTTCATGAGTAGGGCATTTTATTTGACAGTGTACATTGTGGATACTTGTTCAAATTCCCCATTCACCCCTTACACTTCAGATGAAGGTCCTTCTGTCTCACTACTTTTTAAAAAAAAAAAAAAAATTGATTTACTCATGCATACAAGATCTGGCGCACAGGCCAAAGGTGTAGGGCATGAGAGGATTTACCAGAGACAGAGTGGGGAAAGAACAGGCAGATTGACTGAAATACACTGCTGAGGGGAGCAGGGGTGAGTCTGGGGAGGTCTGCTGTGCCAGTGGGTTACCTCCATGGCCAGGGACTGAATTCGTGCTGCAGTAGCTGCGGATAGCTTCATAGTGCTGTGTCTTAACCACTTGCACCACCAGGGAGGCCCCTGTCTAACTACTCTTACTCAACTTGATAGTAAAGTTATAAGTGACACTCTCAGTCCTTTTCCTGAATTCCATCTTACCAATCTACTAGCCAAGCCAGGGAGTGCTTTTTTCCCGTTACCAGTAGAACAACTTAGGCAACTGAAGACCTGCATTGTGAATGCAATTTAAAGTGCTTAAAGGTCATATTTTTATTATGTTTATCAAAGAAAAGGATTATATTTGGATAGTAATGTGTTACCTTTGTTGTGTATTTTACTGCAGGCATGCAGGCAAATGCTATGGCTAGAAGTGAGATGTTTTTAATATTCCTCTTCCCAGGCTCTGAAACCCAGTGTGAAGATATATGCTGCTGAACCCTTAAATGCAGATGACTGCTACCAGTCCAAACTGAAAGGGGAACTGACTCCTAATACTCATCCTCCAGAAACCGTAGCAGATGGTGTCAAATCGAGTGTTGGTTTAAACACCTGGCCTATTATAAGGGACCTTGTGGATGATGTCTTCACTGTCACAGAAGATGAAATTAAGGTGAGATTCCAAAAGGAAAGGAAATAACAGAATGGAGAAACTTCTTAGCAAATGACTCACTGGGGACTGGTGTGAGTGACCTCAGGACAGACAGGTGGGGCAGTGCCCTCGGTGTATTAAGATAACCCTTTTTGGAAAGTAGAAGCAGAGTTAAGCTAGAGGGGGAAAAAAGCCCCACTCTACACTGGCAAGCACATGCATGTAACAGCAAGAAAATCCACATTGGGCATATAGCTTCACCTGGTCTTCAACTTTAAAGGCCGACTAACTAGGAGCTTTCTCTTACTCTCATTTCACTAATTCTTGCTCCCTCTGTACCAACAGTATGCAACCCAGCTAGTGTGGGAGAGGATGAAACTGCTTATTGAACCGACAGCTGGTGTTGGAGTGGCTGCTGTGCTGTCTCAGCATTTTCAAACTGTTTCGCCAGAAGTAAAGAACATCTGTATTGTGCTCAGTGGTGGAAATGTAGACTTAACTTCCCTAACCTGGGTGAAGCAGGCTGAAAAGCCAGCTCCTTACCAATCACTTTCTGTTTAATTTATTCAAAAGGAAGAGATGGGGTTCAGGTCTCCAGACACTAGAAAACATTGTTTTCTGGTTACCTTCCCATCTTCCCCTTTTAAATAGCTTTCAAAATCCTAATGGAGAGTGGATATTTCAGCAAAATTTAATAATTTTTTTGGAATAAGTAGCAATAGAAAAATATCCCTACTTTACTGAGCTACTCTATCAAGGTCAAGAAAAGCCTTGCAAAAAGGGGCAGCAGACCTCCAGGTTAACATAGAAAACAAGTTTTGCCCAATCACAACCTGTAGGCTCCTATTCCTAGCGTGCTAGGTCATAGCAATGAGACAGAATTCCACAGAAACCATTACTCCATGTCCACGTCAGGTACTGCTGAAGAAATCTCACTTTTCACCCAAGGTACTGGTTCTGGTACATAAGGATCATAAGTCCATTTGGGGAAAACTCGCTTATAGAGGTTCATCAGTACTGTATCCTGAGATTTTAGCTTCCCGTCAAAACTGCACTTCATGTGGCCATGAGTACCTAGAAGGAAAATAGATTAAGTTGGTTTTATTGAAATAGAAACATTTAAAGCAGGTTTTCTAACCCAATTGTCATTTAATGGGGAAATCTAGACAAGATCCTAAATCCCATTCTCTTACCCAAAGGCTCCTTGATGTGCCCCCTTCGGCCCCACTTTGTTCTCAGTTCCACTGGTTTAAACCACAGCACATCCTCTTAGAATGAAACACATAGAAGACCAAATGAAACATTTACCCACAAAATATAAACCCAACTTTCACCCCATAAAGGCAATCAGATCCCATTATTCATACCTACCTCTACTAAAGAACATGTAACGCACTACTGCCATCTTAGTAAAAATTTTGAAAGGATGACCACTCAGAACAACTCTCTTGATGACCAGTCTATCAGGATCCACTGACAGTAGATGACCTGTGGCAATGAGGCTGTGTATTCCTACGGGGCAAAAGCAGAGCAGTTGTTCAGGAGTCTCGAGGCCAAAGCCTTCATCTATTGCTCTAGTCCGTTTAAACACCTATGTAAGAGCTTCTGAGAGAATCTTAAAAGAATGTGCTACCCTACCCTCCTGGGTAAATGGCAAAAATCACTAAATGTTATTTCTGATGAACCTACCCAGAATCTATCCTAGATATAGTCCTCTGAGCAACCCCCACTAATTAGCTAAGGTTTGCAAGCAAGGAAAAACTCATCTGTCGTTCTAGCCTTAGAACATGAAAAGTTGAGACTGGGATATTTTGAAAACCATCATTACCTTTTTCATACCATGTGGCACCCAAATCTAAATGCAGAAAACAGTGTTAAACCTATTGAAAGGATATACAAACCAGTTCACCTGTGTGAACTCAACTTACCATTGCTATTCTGTTTGAAAAGCATCACCGATGCAGGAGGAAAAGTGATTGGGGCATATACTGTCACCACCAGGGCCATGTCAGCTGTCAGGAATCTCTGAAATTTATGTTTGTCCGCTGCCATAAGGGTTACAAAATAAAAATCAAAACTGTTTTGAGAAGCCGTAGGTAATCAATAGACCTATGAAAAGCTGTATCACTGCAACTCTTAAACCTAAGCACCTTGTGTCTCTCTCACTTTTTGTTTTTTAAAGATTTATTTATTTATTTATTTATTTATACAAGAACCGGGGTACAGGCCAGATGTGTGGGAGGGTGAGATGATTCACCAGAGACAGAGCTGGGAACAGAACAGGCAGACTGGCAAAATACACCGCTGAGGGGAGCAGGGGGGGAGACAGGAGAGGTCTGCTTGCCCTGTGGGACCCTCATCAGCCGGCCGGGATCAAACAGGCGCTGCAGAGGCTGTGGACAGCTTCACAGTGCTGCGTTCAACCGTCTGCGCCACCAGGGGAGGTCCTATCTCTCTCTCTCTTTTTTTAAAGATTTATTTATTTATGCATACAAGAGCTGGCGTGCAGGCCAGAGATGCGGGGGGTGAGAGGATTCACCAGAGACAGAGTGGGGAGCAGAACAGGCAGATTGAAATACACTGCTGAGGGGGCAGTGAGCAAGACAGGAGAGCTCTGTTGTGCCATGTGGGTCACCTCCCTGGCTGGGGAACGAATTCGTGCCGCAGTGGCTGCGCACAGCTTCATAGAGCTGTGTCTTAATCCCTTGCGCCACCAGGGAGGCCCCTCACCTTGTGTTTCTTTACCTTACCTTTTCTCAAAATATTTTCCTGCCTCAATACAACTGAAAGATGTTATCTAAGCCTACCAGTGATTTTTCAACTAGAAGCAGAATCTTGGAGCTTGGACTATATAGCTGAGGTCTGAAAAAGTTCTCCAGGCGATTCTTTTTTTTTTTTTTTTAATTTATTTATTTATGCATACAAGAACTGGGATACAAGCCAGAGGTGTGGAAGGGTGAGAGGATTCACCAGAGACAGAGTGGGGTGCAGAACAGGTAGACTGACTGAAATACACTGCTAAGGAGAGCAGCGGTTGAGACAGGAGAGGGCTGCTATGCCATGTGGGTATCTCCCTGGCTGGGGATCTAACTCGTGCTGCAGAGGCTGCCGATAGCTTCATAGTGCTGTGCTTATCCGCTTGCGCCACCAGCGAGGCCCCTATCCAGGTGATTCTGACACTCATCAACCCTATCTCATTTGAGAATCATTGCTTTAATAAAGAATATCTCCACTAAATCAACAGCTCTTAGTCTTTGGCAATGATTGACAATCACTTTCTATAAAGGGGCAAATAGTATTTTAGATCTCATGGCCATATGTAGTCTCTCTTGCAGCTATTCAATTCTGTTACTGTAGAATAAAAAGTCATAGATAATACATTTGGAAAAAAAAGGAAGCATGACTGTGTTCCAACAAAAACTGGCAGATGGACAAGTGTCTTGAGGACTATGGGGAGTTTCCATTTTTACCTTCAATGAAACCCTATCCTTTTTTAAAGACTGAAGATCTAGGGAAGTAAATTACTATAAGGAACAAGAAGTTAATCTCCCATGGGTGAGAAATTATCCAGAGCATGCATTAATATTGTCTTCCTGATTTCTCTCTAGTCCTTGCTGGGCAACACATCTTCCCGTTCCAATATGTGGGAGATACAATTCTTTTTGCCACAGAAGTGTCTCTTGTTACTTCTCTCCTAACTCTCACCCAGTCTCAACATCTCAGAAGCCAAAATATGGGTGACCCAACTGTGGTCCACTCCCCAGCTTTTACCAACACTGCCAATGGCATTATCAGACACTTAAGATTCCATACATCAACACATCATTTTTATAAAGCTGCCAGTCCCTATTCAAAACCCACACTAGAACAAATACTCATGGCAAAGAAGCCTCAGTACCACACAGGTTGCATCACTAGGATGCTTCAGACAGGTTCAGACATTTTGAATGAAAACATCATTGGCTCCTAACCAGAGTACTAAAAATACCTCTGACCCTTTTACATTCAGTACCAAATCCCCTCTACTTCACCCCAAAAGTCATAATCCCTCAGTGTAATACAATTACCTGCAGTGTGCTGAGAGAATAAAGGTGAGGCTCTGAAGCGCCTGAACCCACAGTGGAAGATCAGTTCCTCTTTGGCTTTCACAGGTTCAGTGTTGCCAGGGTGCCGGCTCACCACCATATTTAGTACTGACATCTGGAGGTCAAGTAGATAGATAGAAGCAAATTTAATAGCCTAACTTGAAAGAAGGCATACAAAACTAGCTGATTCAGTTTCACTTTTTAAGAAGTGGCAGTGCTAATTTATGGTGGAGCATAGATGATGAGATACAGATTCATCTTTAACCTCTACCAGAGACTGTTTTTGAGTCACACGTAGGCTGATTTTCTGAGCTTCAATGACTTATTTGTGTCTAACATGTAAGAACTCAACATCTGCCATAAAATTAGTGGCCCTAAAGTCATCTGCTCATCACATGTCTCAAAGCTATACTCACTCAAGCCCCTTCTTCCTCCACCCTTACACTGATCAAAGGCCAGAGCTCTCATTTTTTGAAGATATATTTAGTTATGCATAGAAGAGCTAGGGTACAGGCCAGATGTGTGTGTGTGGGGGGCGTGTGTGTGAGAGGATTCACCAGACAGAGTAGGGAACAGAACAGGCAGATTGACCGAAGTACACTGCTGAAGGGAGCAGCGGGCGAGTCAGGAGAGGTCTGCTGCACTATGTGGGCTGCTTCCTGGCCGGCCGGGGGATTGAACTTGTGCTGCAGTGGCTGCAGACAGCTTCATAGATTGCGTCTTAACCCTCTGAGCCACCAGGGAGGCCCAGAGCTCTCACATTTTACTACCCCCCCAACATGTTTGCTGGCCACCAAGAGAAAAAAAAAGACCTATACCTTGGCATAAACCCTCTTTATTTATTTATTTATTTATTTTTTGTTTTTTATAGAGGCATGTTTCATTTATTTATCTGTTTGTTTGCTTGTTTTGTTCATACATGCACTGGGTACAGTCAGAAGCGCGGGAGGGTGAGAGAATTCACCAGAGCCAGAGCGGGGAGCAGAGCAGGCAGAAGGACCGAAGTGCACTGCTGAGGGGAGCAGCGGGCGGCAGGAGAGGTCTGCGCGCCATGCGGGACCCTCCTCCGCTGGCCGGGGAGCAGCCGGGGATCGAACCGGCGCCGTAGAGGCCGCGGGCAGCTTCGCAACACAGCGCTCACCCGCTGCGCCACCGGGGAGACCCTCTTTATTTTTTAAAGATTTACTTTATTTACGCATACAAGAACTGGGGTACAGGCCAGAGGTGCACGGGTATGAGAGGATTCACCAGAGAGAATGGGGAGCAGAACAGGCAGATCTACAGAAATAACACTGCTGAGGGGAGCAGCGGGTGAGACAAGAGACCAGGGTTGCTCCCTGGCTGGCCAGGGATTGAACTTGTTTTGTTGCAGTGGCTGGCAATAGCTTGATAGCGCTGCCTTTAACCCTTGTATCATGGGGAGGGCAAGGGGGCAGGCAATAAACCTTCTTTATTTATTTAAGAACCGGGGTACAGGCCAGATACATGGGAGGGTGAGAGAATTCACCAGAGAAAGAGCTGGGAACAGAACAGGCAGACTGAAGAAATACACTGCTGAGAGGAGCAGCGGGCGTGATAGGAGAGGTCCGCCATGCCATGTGGGACCCTCACCGGCCGGCCGGGATCAAAATGGCGCTGCAGAGACTGCGGACAGCTTCACAGCACGTGTTCAACCGCCTGTACCACCATGGGAGGCCCAAAACCCTCTTTATTTTTTTAAAACTAATTTTTATTTATTTATTTATTTATTTATTTTTGTGGGACCCTCGCCAGTGGCTGGGGATCGAATTGGCGCTGCAGAGGCTGCAGGCAGCCTCGCAACCCAGCGCTCAACCACTACGCCACCAGGGGAGGCCCAAAACCCTCTTTATTTTTAAGGCTGCCAACCGTTGTTTAAAATCTGATCTGGCAAACTTATCTCAGAGAAGTCTCAGAGCCAAAAAGAGATTGCATCACTGAGATGCTTCAGACAGGTTCAGACATGTTGGGAAAAACCATCATTGACTTCTCCAGTTCCTACCCCTAAAAGAAATTTTTTTTTTGCATCTAAATGAGCAAATGGTGAGTCACATAAATAAAATTTTAGAATGTCAGAGAAATCTGTTTGGAAAGTTTCATAACTTCCCATTTTTCACGAGACACTAGCTCACCTTCTGTTCATGAGGTAGTAAAGAAAATGCAATCAGAGGTGTGCCTTGCTTGAAGTACTGAACCACTGAGACAGGAACTTCAGAGACATGAAGTGTGACATACCAGCCAACCTGCCAGAAGAAAACAATCATGCAGTTACCCATAAGGTTTCAATGATGGATTTCTCCAAATTTTAAGTCTCTCAGACTACCCTGAAGCCCACCCTTGTTCCAAATTACCTTTCATAGATGCCTCAACTACCCAGATTAAACTTTCTCAGTTAATATCTGACAGTTGTTTGTTCCTAACTATCACTTATCAACAACTCAATGGCTCCTCTTTTCAGCTATGGGCAGCATAAAACAAAAGCAAATTATAGGAACAGATAAAGAAAGACAAATACCTCAGCCCCTTCAATCTCTTTTTCCTCAATCTCTTTAAAGATGCGTTTCCTAGTATTAGTAAAGTTCTGAAATTGAAATATCCGTGCATAATCTCGAGGAAGGTTTTCCTTAGGATCCCATGGAGATGTCCGGAAGCTCTTGAGGCCTCTGTATTTTTGAAATCTAAATTACAGGAGATTTTTAAAACATTAACAGTCAAATCTATGTGACACAACTTCTTCACTCAAATCACTTCTAAGTGCCTCCCTGGTGGCACAGAGTTATTAAAGAAAGTGCTATCAAGCTATCGCTGGGCACTGCAGCATAAGTTCGATCCTGGGCCAGCCAGATAGCTGACCCACATGGCGCAGCAGACCTCTCCTGTCTTGCCTGCTGTTCCCTTCAGCAGTGTATTTCAGTAGATCTGCCCGTTCTGCTCCCCACTTTGTCTCTGGTGAATCCTCTCACCCCCTGCACCTCTGGCTTACACCCCAGTTCTTGTATGTATAAATAAATCTTTAAAAAAGAAATGTTTTGTCTGTAGATCAAAAAACGCATCATGATTTCTCAAAATAACCTAATAGCAGAAGTCAAAGTCATAATCCAAAATAGCTTGTAATAACAAGTATTTCAGAAAAAAACTCCAGATTCTCACTGACAAAGGACAAAGTATTTACAGTGGCCCCTGGTTCCTATCAGGGAGGGGCTCTTTTACCTAACAAGGTCTTACCTCTCTAATATTCAATATAAACTCTAACTTTAATCAAACTCACCTATGGAGCAGACATGCTCATCTACATCTTCATGCTGTTATTCTTGCTATTCTACTCCAACTCCCCCAAATTTCAAACATTGTATATTTCAACTGAATGTTAGCTCTTACAGGGAGAATCTGCTGATTTTTTTTTTTCATTAAAGTACTGTAAAACTACTCTACTGCAGTCTAGAACTTGATTCTATATACTGTTTACAGCATACATGTCCTGTCTTCCATGTAAAATGTTAGCCCCTTCAGAAGCAAGAACCATGTATTCTTTTATACCACACTAACATAGTTCTGAGCTCTTAAGTTTTGTTATTTTTTTGAAGATTTATTTCTGCATAGAAGAACTGGGGTGTAGGCCAGAGGTGTAGGGGGGGTGAGGGGAAGAGGATTCACCAGAGACAGGGTGGGGAGCAGAACAGGTGGACTGACTAAAATACACTGCTGAAGGGAGCAACTGGTAAGGCAGGAGATGTCTGCTGTGCCATATTAGGGTTAATTCCCTGGCCAAGGATCAAACTTAGGCTGCAGTGGTGATAGCATGATAGCACTGAGACTTAACACCTATGCCACCAGAGAGGCCCTTGGGCCAGTAAATGTTATTTATTTTTATTTATTTATTTATTTTTTAAGATTTTATTGATGCATACAAGAGCTGGGGTACAGGCCAGAGATGCGGGGGGTGAGAGGACTCACCAGAGACAAAGTGGGGAGCAGAATAGGCAGACTGACTGAAATATGCTGCTGAGGGGAGCAGCAGGCGAGACAGGAGAGGTCTGCCTCACCATGTGGGTTTCTCCCTGGCTGGCCAGGGATCAAACTTGTGCTGCAGAGGCTGTGGATTGCTTCATAGTGCAGTGCTTAACCCCTTGCACCACCAGCCTTAAGGCCCAGCCCTTAAGTTTTAAATGAAAACAGACTGATTTTAGATTTGCTGACTAACCGAATTCTAGCAGCCACATCACGGGGGGTATCTATTTCATCTGGAAACATCTCTTCTAGTCTTTCTTGTTTATATTTCTCCAACATTTTTTCCTCAGCCTCCTCATCCACTTTCTCATCATACAGATCATCATGCACAGACTCTCCTATAGTTACAGTTTCACATTCCTCCTCCTCCTCTTCTTCACTGTTTTCATCCTGTAGAGTAAGGATTACAGTTTTGGGGAAAAAACCCATATATGTCTCTATACTAAAAAAGATGACTAAGTTAATAAAGTAAATTTTACTAGATACCTAATTCAAACCAGTATCAATTCTAATAGAGACTGAGATATAAAACAAGTTTCATTTCTGGCAACTAAAATGTCCTAAGAAACTGATCGCACATATCCATCAAGGTCAGGATGACACTTTGCCTTCTTGTATCCAGGACTGTAGACAGAAGTAGCCAGCCCATTTCCTTACCTGAGAATCCTCCTCCATAAAATCTTCATGTTCCGTATCATCATATTCATCATCCCCACCACTTTCATCACCCTCATCCAAAATCCATTCAGCTTGGTAACTGGACGTTCCTTTGGGGACTTTCTTTACCACCTTGCGTCTTTCCTTCAAGAAGTCTACAAAAATCCAAATAAGTAAATTATGTACCTTCTCTCTTCTATTATTCTGGGTATTCTCACGCAGGCAGGACACTCGATATTACTGCCAACACTCTAAACTCAAGCAGACGCTACAGTCTATTTGCAAGTTTAATTCTGCTCTCAAAAGCAGCAATACAGACACAGCTAATTGACCCTTACAATGAAATCCTGTAAACTAGAAAACAATAAATGATCTTAAGAAATGGAGCAAAGCTGTGCTTGATGTTTGCTTAGTGTAAACATACAGGTTTGGGGGACAAGAGGACAAGAAGGACCTGCAAATGCACCCTCACTCCGCTCCACCTACAGGCCTGCGAGCAGCTGGACAAGCCCAGTGCCAGCACAGGTGGACACAGGTCTGTTGGTACCTACCACTGGCTTCCTTCAGCTCCTCCTCAGTAGGCCAGGTTTGTTCCCCCTCCATTGAATCTGGAATCACTTCTATTTGCAAAGATTCCTGCCTATCAGGGTCTGCCTTCATCAGAACCTTAATGTCTTCCTCCATACCACCTACAGCATCTGCAGCACAAATCTGAAAAACAAAAGTGGATGGTCTGTTAAACACTTACTAAGAATCTACTAACCCAGACATAGTAAACCAGAAAAATAAGGAAACAGCACAGTTCTCAAATAGAAACTGAATGAATAAACAGACAGCTAGAACTTTGCCAAAAATTTTCAAATGTTTCTATTTCCTAGCATTTTAAATCTATACCTCTGCTTGGGTGGAGGCCTCTCATAATCTGGTTCCATTCCTATCCATTTTTAACACACTTTACTCCCATCAGGCTCACTTCTACAAAGAAACCCCTTGACCCATCCCTGTGCCTCAGTTCATGTTTCCATCTTTTAGGATATTTTTACATCTCATTTCAACACATAAATCACAACCTTCTCAACTTCTGTGACAGGTCCGTACCTCAACTACACTTTCTCAATCTTTTTTTTTTTTTTTTCTTCATGACTGCTATTTTTTCCTGAACTAATTAAACTAATTAAGTTGTCTAAGGGCGGGGGGCGGGGGAGAAGCATCTTATGCGTCTTTTATAAAATCAAGAGCCAGCTGTCATGCCATGTACCTCCAAAGTGGGACAAATATGTGATGTATCAACGTATTTGCAGTCATATTTTGAACTAGCCTCACTCACCTCTAGGGACTCATAGTTATCCAGGTGTGTAGACTAGTTTCTCTGAGGTTAATTCCTATCCTGCACCAGCTTACACTGCATTGTAGACTAAATCTACAATGCAGTCTCTAAGAACATCAGTCTTACCTCCATTGCCACGCCTGGATCCTTTTTGGATTTGCTCACTCTAGGATTTAAGGGGAAAGGGTCCATCGGAGCATCTATCTGCTTCATCTGGAAATCTCCATGTCCAACGATATGCAGCAAGCTATTTACATTCAGAGTCTGCCCACGAACATAGCCAGAGATTTTCAAGGTGCCCACCAAATTATTTTCTTCACTGGGCACAAAGTCAGCAGCATGGGCAAACAGATAGGCCCGCCGATCTCGAAAGGCAATATGTCGTTGCTTTTGGTTAGCCAACTGCCTGAGTAACAGCCCTGCCTCCTGTTGAGTGTCTAACAGGAGGAGTTTGTCATCAGGAAAGCGCTTCTCCACTGCTTTACTTAGCTTCTTTCTGACATCTATTTGTTTCTTTGGTGGGAGGCCAGAAACTCCCTGGACAGCTAGAGCTGAGAACAAAAGAAAGGATTTTGTGCCCTGTGCTACATGTCCCCTGGAAATTGCCCCTCCAGTTCACAAGCAGGTCAACAGTTCAGTTGTGAGCCCAGAAACCACTGGCAAACCCAACACCCAGCTACCTTAAAAAAAAAAAAAAATCACAGTAAAACAAATTTCATATTCTTCTTCTTCCCCTGGGCAAAGGGGATCCCAAAATAGAAAAGCATCTTAATAGAGAAATAGTAAATAACAGACCAAATTTAGGCCATAGGTGCATTATCCACCATCAGCTAAATACGAGCCAGTACAAACAGTTGTATTCCTGCATCAAGTATCAGACAGAGTGTTTGGCAAATTATAGGTGCATAATAAATACTAATTCACTTCCTTCCCTGGCCTCCAATACTCCCAACTCACTTACTATAGGTGGGAAGGCCCTGAGCAAAGAGGCAGGAAAGGCAGTAATCTCCAGTGCTGTCCCAGCCTTCTAGTGGATCAAGGAGGAAGAGGATGGTATCAGCTACTTTAGCCATATCTAACACAGTGTGCAGATCCCCTGGAGAAGACAAAGTAGAAAGAAGTGGTTGACACAAGCATATTACACTTAAAAAAAAATCACTACTACTCAGAACAATGATAGGAAATATTATTGTAAACTCTGACCTGGTCTTGCTGATGTGAAAAACCACCGATGTTTCAAGTCTGGGCATAACAGCATAAAGCTATGGGTGCTTCCCCACTCATTCACGTGTACCGTTCCAGTATCTCTGTCTTGAAGTAGCTGAAAGGCCTCTGGCAAGGAAATCCTGTTGTGCAAGGGCACCACCAGTACCTGATGAGGAGGGCCATCCCTGCTGCCCAGCTGTCTCTTCTCAGCCAGAACCTGAAAACAGAAAGGATTAGAGAACATCTAAATGTTTCAGGACTTCACTCCATTTCCATGTTGCATTTCCAGCAGAACAGATGTCTCCCACAACGAGCATCTTTTTTGTAAAAGGCCACATGTATGCCAGGAAGTAGGCTGGAGCGTGGACCAAAGCAAAGAATGCTCTAATGAACAGACCTGTATGCTACCTGACATGTGTTCTGGGGTTAGTATCCATACCGGTCCCTTCCCGGGGACATAGTCTCTACTTGGTGGCATTCCCCTCCTAGAAGGATTGTGAGGCCACACCATTCCCCAACTCCCGATCCTCTCACCGCCTCCTTCTTCTGTTTTCGGAGCTGGCTGGCTCGATGCCTCTGGTCTACCCTGCTGAGCTCTTTTCTCACTTTCTTGCTTAGGGTTTTCGGTGCTAGGCGTCCTAGAAAAATGAGAAAAAGGCTCTCGAGCTTGGCATTAGTAGGTCAAGAAGGGCGACGCCTCTCCGGCCCCCTTGGAACAGGCCGGAGGTAGGACGAGGTTCAAGATTGGGCATGGAGAAAAGCAGCTAATGCCTACTAAACAGCCTTCTCTCCTCACCCCTCTCTCCTCACCCCCTCTCTCCTCACCCTTGCCATCACGCTGCGCGGATCCTCGACCCCGATGCCTCCCGCCTTTGTGAGCTTTATTCTGCTGCTTCAGCGGGCCGGAGCGGTGGGCCGCCATGGCTCGGCTCACGTGTACTGTCAGCACCACTTCCGGGCGGGACCTGCGCTTCCGGCTCCCGCAGCGGGCGGGGCGCCCCGCGTCCTCTCGCGAGGTCTGCCCGCCGGCGTCTCGGCGAAACCGCGGCGGCAACTTTTCCCGTGACGCCGTCTGCGGTCGGGGGCTTTAAAAGGCCGGGCGGAGCCTCGAGACTCGGGCTCTCCGTCCCAAACGGCCGTTTTCGCTCCCTGGGCGTTCGTCTTTTGCACTATCAGGTTGCATCACGAGATACTAAACGAGGCTCCCATTCGAGCCCGGGAGGGCTGGGCCCCTCCCCTCGCCAAGACGCGAGCGCGCGGCTGCTCGGCGCGGCAGCAGCAGGTGTTCAGCGCTTGGCGCCTCCTTCGCCCCCTCAGCTCCCCCGGGAGGCGGCCTAAGCCTACAGGGCGAGTGTCGTAGAGGGCGATTGGCTCACCACGGGCCGCGTACAAGTCCCGCTCCCCCACCCTGCGCCCCCGCCCCACATGGCTGCAGGACGGGGCGGACGACGCCCCCTGGAAGGGCGGGAGCCCTCGGGGCTAGCGCGACCTCCTCGGCTTCTGGGCGGCTGCGCCCCCACGCCTTTTCCCACAGTCTCAGCACCCGAGGGCGCAGGCCGGCCGGGAAGTTGGAAGTCTAGCGCTTGGTTTCCCGGTGGCCGGGCGCCAGCTCAAAGGGCCCCGGTCTTGCCCGTCTGGAAAACTGGCGGGTAGAAGCCAGCGGGGCGTCTAGCCGAGCTGAGGCCGGCTTCGCCGCGCCCGACTCCCCCCTCGGCCACCCGCTCCAGGACGCGCCCCGGCGCCGTGCGGGGCTGTGCCGCGGGCGCTCACAATGCGGGTTCGCGCCCTCGGGGCGGGTGCCGGTGCGTTACCATGACAGCGGCTCGCGTGGCGCGCGCCCCGGCCCGCCGCCCCCAGGAGCGCGCAGCCCCTCCCCCGCCCGACGCCCCCCCTTCGCGGATCGCTGAGCGCACCCCCCGCCCCCGGCTGTGGGAAGGGGCCGGGCCAGCCTCCTGACGTCTGTGCGGGGCTCGGAAGATGGCTGCGGAGCCGAGCACCGGGCAGGGGCTGCGGTGGCGGCGGCGGGCCGGGAGCGCGGCGGGCGGGGGCTCCGCCTTGCGCGTGGGGCGCTGAGCCTGGAGGCGGCGAGTGTGCGCGGGGGGCTTGGGAGGGCCGCTCGGTGCCACCTCCCCGCCACCCGCCGCACCATGGGCAGCGCGGAGGACTCAGTCAAAGAGAAACTGCTGTGGAACGTGAAAAAGGAGGTAAAGTCGGGGCGAGGACCCCCGGGGTGCGCATCTCGGTCCGCGCGGCCCGGGGCGAGTGGAGGTCCGCGCCCACCCGCAGGTGCGAGCGCTCGCCGGCCGGGGCCTGGGGCGGGCGGGGGCGGGGTCCTGAACTGGCTGCTGCTCGCGTCTCTCTCGGGATTCGGAGGAGAGCACCACTGGGGGGCTAGGCTGGTGGTTTGGGGCTTGTTTGCTCCACGATCCCGCAGCTCCCCGCCCTGTGACGGCAGCAGCGCTGGGAGACCCGAGGTCGGGGGAGGGGTGACGGCGATTTCTGGGAGAAGCAGAGCTGCCCATTCATTGCCCGCGCTGCCTGGGGAGGGGGCGGGGCCCGGCGCAAACCTCCTACGGTGCTGAACGGGTGATACGGGGCTTAGATCCGGTTTGCGGTACAGCTCCTAGGGGTATCTCTGGGAATTGAGTCGCGGCAGCAGAAGGGTTCACCGCACATCTCACCTCACTGCTTCTCCCTCCATGCCCACCTCCTTATCTAGGGACCAGGATTTGGTGGGGGGTTTTTTGGGGGAAGGGCGGGGATTGGGAACGGTTTTTAAGACTAATTTTTTACCCATTTTGAGGAAGGATCACCCCCATGTCAGAAGGATAAGAGTCCGCTCTACGAGAACGTCCTTTACCTTGTCCCTCCCCTAAAGCCAATTTCAGTTTCATTGTGGGGGGGAACCCATATGAATGACTCACCCCCATTGCTCAAACACACAGTGAATTAGAATGGATTAAGGCCTCTGAAGCCATGAACTCCTCCTACCTATTCTGTAGTTGTAGCTGCCAGGCTGACTTATCCACTCTGGCACACAGTAGGCACTCAGTGACCATTGGGTAAATAAGTCCACTCGTCTTGGAAACTGCAAGGTCTGGTGGGAAGGCATAAATCTTGGAATAGTCTGAACTTAGCTTTGTGTGACCTTGAATAAGTTACTTAACTTTTCTGACTTTTATTTTCTTCATTTTTAAAATAGGGATCATTATATCTACCCTATTTTTTATAAACGTTTCACCACACTGATTCTTTTAGCACTTCCTAGAGTTTCAGGACTGGAGGTGATTCTGGGTTCTCATAAGATTCTGGAAGACTAAAGGTTCTTCTGCATTAACTGCATATGGCCTGGCTATTGTGTCCTATATTTGTTCCTTATGATTGGCAAAGAAGTAATTGAAGCGATCACCTTTCCAGCTGTGAGAAACCCCATCATACCTTTGCTGTTAGGTGACCAAGAAAGACCTTTTTAGGGGTATATCGAAGAGCATTTAAACCCCAACCCTCATCTCACCAAGGAAAAGAGAAATCTTAAATTTCAGCGTTTCTCCTCAGGAAACAAGCTATATAGGGACAGAGATTTATATAAAACTCTATGAACAAGAGCAAAAAAGTAGCCTTACTCAAACTGTGGATGGATTTGCTAGGATTGTTGGTGTCACCAAAATTTGGGCTTTTTTTTTTTTTTTAAAGATTTATTTATTTATACAAGCACTGGGTACAGTCAGAAGTGCGGGAGGGTGAGAGAATTCACCAGAGCCAAAGCAGGGAGCAGAGCAGGCAGAGGGACCAAAGTACACTGCTGAGGGGAGCAGCGGGCGGCAGGAGAGGTCTGCGCTCCAGGTGGAACCCTCCTCCGGTGGCCGGGGAGCAGCCGGGGATTGAACCAACGCTGCAGAGGCTGAGGGCAGCTTCGCAACCCAGTGCTCAACTGCTGCGCCACCGGGGAGGCCCAATTTGGGCTTATTAAGGGAAGATTGGAAAGATTTTTAAAAAGATTGATTTTTAAAATTTTTTTATTTATTTTTTATTTCTTAATGCATACAAGAGTTGGAGTGTAGCCCAGAGGTGTGAGGGGGTGAGAGGATTCATCAGAGAGTGGGGAGCAGAATAGGCAGATTGACTGAAATACACTGCTGAGGGGAGCAGGGGGCGAGACAGGAGAGGTCTGCTGCACCATGTGTGTGGGTCAGCTCCCTGGCCAGGTATCGAATTCATGCCACAGTAGCTGGCAATAGCTCAATAGTGCTTGCACCAACAGTGCAAGTACTTAGAAGACTGTACCATTCTAAGCAAATGTGAGAAATGTCCAGATTATGCCACAAGTACTTATGTCACCTGATGAAGGTTGCCTGCCCTGAACTCTTAGTTTTCTTCCTCCTTTCAGTGGAGATTACATAAGAAACATCCTTTCCTCTCCTGCGAGTGGAGAAAGTGGGGATAATCGTGAGCAGGGCTGGCCTTTCCCAAAGGACCACTGGTGTAAGTCAGGGGGGCATCTTAGGTCCTCCTATCTCAGAAATCTGTCCCACTAGCTTGCTTCAAATGACTGCAGGTCTTTGAGCTGCGACATGTGTTTAATGCAAATATCCCTTGAGAAGTAATCTTGGGTGGTTTAAAGTACAGGATCCACATGATCCTACTTTAACTGCTAACTATGAGCAGTTCCCAGCAGGAAAGAGCCTTTAGATCCTTTGCCCGTCATGCTCCCAAACTCTACCATCTTAGGTGAGGGTCTTGGGCATAAGGGTAGCTTCAACATACTGCATGTTTTGTCCAAAGAATGGCAAAGACTCACTTTGCCCAAAGCTCACTTTTTTAAAAAAAAAAAGATTTATTTATTTATGCATACAAGAACTGGACACAGGCCAGAGGTGTGGGGAGTGAGAGGATTGACCAGAGACAGAGAGGGGAACAGAACAGGCAGATTGACTGAAATACACTGCTGAGGGGAGCAGCGGGTGAGACAGGAGAGGTCTGCTGCGCCACCTGGGTCACCTCCCTGGCCCGGGATGGAACTCATGCTGCAGTAGCTGGGGATTGCTTCATGGTGCTGACGCTTAACCCCTTGCGCCACCAAAGAGGCCCTTTATCTGTAAGATTTTACACTGGGTTTGAGGTTATTCACCCCTCTATTCTTAAATATCTGTCTGTTGGTATTTTTCTCTAAGACAGCAAAAGTAATTTACTTGTGTACTTGCTGAGGTGAGAAACTGTATACAATGTTGTTACTAGTGTTACTTTAATAAAAAGTGAAGGAAAAAAGTGCTTGGGACCTATAAGGCTGTCTGCAGCCACTGCAGCATAGGTTCGATCCCGAGCCAGGGAGCTACCCATATGGTGCGGCAGACCTCTCCTGTCTCGCCTGCTGCTCCCCTCAGCAGTGTACTTCAGTCCTTCTGCCTGTTCTGTTCCCCACTCTGTCTCTGGTCAATCCTCTCACCCCCCACACCTCTGGCCTGTATCCCAATTCTTGTATGCATAAATAAATAAATCTTAAAAAAAAAAAAAAAAGAAAAACGTGCTTGGCTTAAGTGTTAAAAAGATCAGCTAGAATGTCATATACTGCTGATGGGACTATAAATTGGTATAAATCACCTTGAAGAATATTTTGGCAAAACCTAGTAAAGCAGTAAAGCAGAACATATACATCAGAAATTCCTAGCCTAGAAATAAATCCAAAGAGGGCCTCCCTGGTAGTACAGAGGTTATAGTCTGAGTGCTATCAAGCTATTGCCAGCCACTGCAGCCCGAGTTCGATCCCCAGCCAGGTAGGTAACCCACATGGCGCAGGAGACCTCTCCTGTCTCACCCACTGCTCCCCTCAGCAATGTATTTCAGTCGATCCACCTATTTTGCTCCCCACTCTGTCTCTGGTGAATCCTCTCACCGCCCCCCCCCCCACCTCTGGCCTGTGTCCCAGTTCTTGTATGCATAAATAAATCTTTCAAAAAAAAAAAAAAAAAAAAAGACAGGTCCAGAATGTTCATAA